GCGGGCCGGGATGCACGGACGGACGGACGGACGGGCCGGGGCCAGCAAGCGACACCTGCCTTTCCCGCTGCCTTCAGGGAAACCGAGACTCTGCCATTCGCACCGCTTAAACCTTTATTTCCTGTACCTCAGCCAGCCTTACAGCAAAAATCGGGGTTTATGGCCGAACAACCCCTTTCGGCTTCTTTCCGACAGTGATGTGGGCAATAATGACATAGATATTAGCTCCAATCCTACGAAATCTAAACCAAAAAGGCAGCTAATCTGAATGGGATCAGGATTGGGCCCACAATCCCCGATTCTCTTTTAAACGCCAGCCTAAACATCGGCAGTGAGAATACATGGGATGTGGAATTTTTGATTGGGTGGAAAACCTCACCGTTCATAATTACTTGAGAATTTACCAGTTTTAAAAGTCGAGAAGAGATAACTCAATAGATACAACTACTGCTAAATTTAATAAAGACAAATGATGGCATGATTGATGCTTACTGATTTAAATGGATTGTTTATGGTTTGTACAGAAGGCCAAGAGTGCTGGATACTTGAAACAGCTCCTAAAATGCCATTCACACCGTAACAACACATTTTCTGAACTTATGGTAGAGTGAATATAAACCTAGATGTTAATTTGTCTTCTCCATGTCTGTTTCATAATTGCAATTTTGGTTAACCATAGCTTCTTAGAAAATGAGCTTGGCTCCTTCTAAGCGCAGCCATAGAATTCAAGTAGCCTTGTAATAAAAATCAGAAAAGAAGGTGGTACACCCTAACCACGCATTTGAATTCTGCTTGACTTATTTTTATACCGATTCTCGGTATCACTCTGTGAAAACAAAAATTCTTACATTATTTTGTGGTTTATGATGAGATATGTGGGGTGGGAAACAAGACCCGCAATCAAACCTCTGCTACACGACCGGTCTCTCGTAAGGGTTTGTGTCGCCTTGTGCGGAGCTGATGGCTGAGCCTCGGTTCTGCCTGTCAGTCCAGGTCGGAAGCATTAGGTTGTTCAGCACGGAAATGTCAACAGCACTGTTTGGTTGGCTAACAAAATGGTGGGACAGAAAGAGGGGGATAACCCTGAAACGCAGGGGTTTAGGGGTACTAGCATGAAAACGGAACAGAGGTGCGTGAAAGTCACAGTTCAGCTCCAGCTGGACGGGCCTGTTGGTCCGAAACTGTACCAGCCTGCGAGCTTCGACCATATCCTCCCGCGTTGGAATGAGCCTTGGGCACACAGGCAGCTCCACCGTTCCCTCCTGAAACAAACCACCTCTGCAATGCAAACCGAAAGTATTTAACGACTTGAATTTCACCTGAACTTGCACCGAGTTGAGACCCTGCAATAACAGGCTAATCATTTCCCTCCTGCTTGCCAAAGGGACAACACATCCCCAAATACTCTGAACATGTTTAACGAGACACTTCATGCACTTCAGATTGAATCACAACCGACTCCTTCGTACCTGGTGTACACGTGAAAAACGGCACAGAAACCCAGAGCAGTCGTTAAGAGGGCACGTTACAGCATCAGAAAGGGGTTTATGATCTTGGAAGTCAGCAAGGGCAACAGGCAGGGTGAGGTATATGAACTGGCACAAAGCTTAAGAGAAAAGGAGGGGCAATGAAGAGCGATCCTTTTTTCAAGACAAGAGAGGAGAGGATGAAGTATTGATGCTTCAGTAACATTGACACATCTGTCTACACGTAGGTACGCAGTTGCTTGGCAGCTTAGACACCTCGCCAACCTAATTGTCTCCGCTTTGCTAAGCTTCAAGGACAACGGCCCTCCAACACATTTCGCAGCAGTCAGGTTTCCGCTTGTGCTTGGAAAAACGACGATAATGAACACGGGAAGTTCAAAGGGCAGTTTGACAGATCTCCAAAGCAAGAGCACGCTGCGAGAGGACTGCTGGAAGGCCTGCCGCTCTCCCTGCCTCTGCCTCACTGATGCATTGTTCGGTGTTGCAGGAATTCTCCAGGACGTTTATGAACAGGGGCAGTGAATACTTAAGATCTCTTCTGTCATAAGGGACATGAACACTGCTGAAGGTACGTGGCAACAAAAAATGCCTCCCTGGGGGGGGGGAAGGGGGAACAAAACAAAAAACCACCCACAAAAAAGACCAGAACAAAACACAAATTAGAAGTTGAAACTTCAAACTATCATGAAGTAAAAAACGAACACCCAACACAATTTCTAACAGCAATGCCTCTAGGCAAGTTAATATCCTCACGTAGACCCACACAGAGCTCATACTCAGTTTAGTCACTACCCAAATGCCAGTCGATGCTCTAACCTACTTAGATGGGTATCAAAGTTTAAGGGAATACAGTTCTTCTCATCAAATGTTAATTTACCCCCCTCCCAAACTGGGTGCACCGCTATTTTCCTAGCCATCAACAGTACCCCTGAAGTCCTACAGCAATTTTAAAAAGGAGAACCCCAGAATAACACAAATGTGACATCCACCCGCACCGGGTCTACACAAAGCTGGAGAACGCTTTACAGACAAGAGACAGTGGCTTGTACCAACTGAACTTCTGCCCCAAAAAAACAACAACAGGAATATGTAGGTACTTTTCCTTTTCTGAGGGCAGGGGGAAGGAAACACAGGCAGGGAGGTGTGGAGGGGTGATCTAATTGCGATGAGACCCTTTGTCCACGCAGTAGCCCTAAAAGGTGCGATTGAAAATAATCCCTCCAAGCCTACGCAGTGTAAAGAAACGCTACTATTTAGCAGCAAACCAGTGGTGTAGAACAAAACGCTTGATACCACAGCTGCACGTACAAGAACTCAGCTTCTTGCTTTTAGAAGAGGAAACAGAAATGCATAGGTCTGTTTTGAGTATTGACTTTTAATAGCTTGTTTCTCGTAAGGGAACAGGGGATGTTTTGTGTTTTAGAAATACAGGTATCAGTCGAGGTTTAAATACAGCCTGCCCCTGCCAACGGGTCACGTACATGATTTATTTGGCTTCAGCTTTTGTTTTTATGCATTAAGCAACCTTTAACCTTCTTTTGTAATACAACATATAGACAAATTTAAGTACAGTAATAGTGTAGGTATTTTACTGTCTTCACATTGTTCTTGACACACCGGACAAAGCGATACACATCAGTCCGCCCCCAAGCCCAGGTTTCACACAAAGCACGTTGAATACTGCTTCCGGCGGCACACTCGACTTGCTCCCACATTTAATTTGCCAAGTCTACAGAAACAGATCCTTTGGGAACATCAGGAATTATTTCCAACTCTGCCCAGTGACATTCAAATGCTCAGGCAACTACTGGTAACTTTCACTTTACCGTTACTACAGACGTTGCACACTGACAGGGAACAGTTTTAGAACTGGACAAGCTATAGTAATCCAGCTTTTGGCAGAAGAATTACATACAAAAAGGGGATTTTTATATATAGTTTTCAATCTGTAGTTTCATTTTTCAAAATAAACCCTGTATATATAAATGGATAACGTTCAAGATCTGCGTAGGAATAACAGTTGCTTTCTCGCTGAAACAATGTTTTTAGGCAGAATCTCACTTTCTGTTTTTCACTTCAGGTATGCTAGCCCGTCCAGTCCTTGGAGAAAAAAACTTCCATTTTTAAATCCTTTAGGATCCATCAGGTTCATTATATGGTAATTACCTTAACTTATACAAATATACGGTATCATGAGGTGAACTGAAGGGGGTTAGATATCGAAGTACTGGTCCAGGTGCAGTAAGCCAAACAGCTGTTTAAACACGATACTACAGCTGAAGTAAGTCTCTGTCAGAATAAAAACCAACATTCATGAAAACAGCAGCAGCCATCAAAAACATTCACAACTGCAGGGATTTTTTACTGTGTGTAATTTTGCATTATAAGTAGGAGAAGCCACAATAGTTTAAAGCAATATTAAAAAAAAAATACCACTACAGTCTTGAATTTAATAATGTGAATTATCACTCTTATAGCGGTTTATAGAAGTGTACTAAAAAAATTTACTTAAACATATGAATTTAAGACTTTCACTTTATTCAGCAAATTGGTTTATTTACACAATGGGGAACGCTGGTTGAATGCTGTCAATGTAATAAAAACAAATCTAACAGAGACAATACTGAACTCTCTCTATGTATTCATAGCAGAAATGACAAACTATTTCCTTACCTGTATCAGGAACATCAAGCGCAACAATGGGACAGTATCATAGGACACTGATTTAACAATAAACCACAGAGGTCCAGTAATACTATGGCAATTTACTCATGTATTTACTGACTTTAAAAAAAATAAAATTAAAAGTCAGCAATACCCAGTATAAAGTTCTGTCAATTATCAGAGTCAAACTCTGATGAGTAGGTCAGTAAAACCTTATCAGATCATCTGCAGTTCATAAAGTGACCTGATCTGCGTCAGACCACTAATACAGAAACAAAATTGATGAGCACAGATTACCCTCTAAAAGGCAACAATGATCTGATAAGGTTTAACTTAATGGAAGTTTAAAAAAAAAAATAAGAATTGCAGAGCACAGCCCCTATTAGAACAAGCTAACTTTCCAGACTTTCAAAAAAGACAAAAAAAAAAAAAAAATTGAGAGGAAAAAAAAAACCAAAAAAAAAAACACTTCAACATGAAGCTACCATACAAAGTTGTTTGATTTTTTTTTTGTTGGCTTTTTTTGTTGTTTCTTTTTTTTCCTTTTAAGAGTTCAGAGTTGCAATTTAATCCTGGCTTTTTAGTGAGAAGGACAGTTTTGGCCTAGACTTTCCTTTGCCCAGGATAATTTTTTGCTCTTCCTTTTGCTGACGTTGTCTCTCTTGTTCTAGTTTCATCCTCTCCTCATGAATCTTTCTTTGTTCTTCAACAATTTTCAATTGTTCTTCAGCCTATATATGAAAATGGTAGAATTTAAGCCAGCATATTTTGTAGTCATAAAAGCAATTTACAATTCCGTATTAACTTCCAAACAGGTCCCATCCTGCACAGGTATGTAAGCAGTTCTACCCGAGCTAGATGCCATAGCTGGTTTCAGTGAAGCTATGTATAAAATGATTATTTGAATTGAGTTTAAAAGAAGCACTGAAAACTTTTTACAGCTGAGGTATCGAAATCTCGAGTGCTACATGCAACGTTTTTGAGCATGGCTTTGCAAACAACGATTACATTTTAATTAAGAAAGTCAGTGCATATAGAGAGAAATTCCCCCGACACCTGTGATGTCAGATGAAGGCACAATAGAAGGAAGTAACAGACCTTCAAACGGAGGTCTCCCCGCTCTAAAACCCATCTAAAACCCCCTCCTAATTCAAAACCATCTTTACTTGATTTGTGACAAGTCAAGTTCCTACAGCTCTTCCATGGTCTTCTAAAGGTGGCCATTTTGTTCATTACATCACTTAATACTTTAAATTTTCTGTTTGTCCCTCTTCACCATGTGAGGTTGAGAAAAGGGTAAAACAGAAAGAGGTCTAAAGCAGATGCAGTCAAGCACAGCTTTAAGAAGCATCCACCACCTTTACCTGAAAAAGGTGTAATTACCTGGGCAATTGAAACCAACAGAGTTAAATCAGAATTTAGAAGCAGCTTGGTTTGGCTTATCATTAATCGACGAGAATCAGATAAAACACACTGAACGTTCTCATGAGGCAGGCACCTGCTTGTATAGGCTTGGAGACCAACACAAGCTAGACTTTCATAACTTCAACACCTGAAGCTGATGCTGAAAGTCCCTTTCAGCCCTGGTGCACCACCGTTACGCTGGTCTCAAATCCAGTTTGTACTTGTCCTGCTCCACAAAACAGAATTAGTCACTTCTGTTCTAGAAGCTGAACGTGTTTGCAAACTTACTTCAACCTTCCATGAGAGATACAGTTAAAAATGTACTTTTTAAATTCTGAAGGCAGCTATCTTCTTCTAAATTAACTGCACGTGAACTATTTTTTTCAGACGAGTGCTACTGCTAAGGATCTGGTCTCTTACGCTCAAGGGAAGGAGAACAACGCTGCTGACATGACCGGCAATAGACAAGTTAAACTCTAGAAAGGGTCAATTTGTTTATTTTAATTGTGTTGCAAATCAGGCAGAGGGACCTGTATTCCCCTACAGCAGGCTTAACGACATCTTCACATACCAGTTTAGCTTGTGCTTCTGCAATTTTTCGATTATTCTCTTCTAGTATTCGCTCTAGTTCCTCACGCTTTGCACGCTCTTCTTCCTAAAGGGGAGGACAGGGCAAGATGTTAGTAAAGTAAAATACTCATTTCTGCATGTTCACTAATCTTTCTCAGAATTCTTCTGTGAACTGACTTAAAGCGGCAGCTTTACAGCCACCTATTTTGTCTCAAAACGGTAAATTGTGCAGCCACTAAAACTGGTTTCTAGCACTCAATTTAAATCATCCCGCCCAGTCCAAACAGCAACCAACTAAACCCTCCCTAATCATAGAATCCTGACAATTTATTACTAGAATTTTAATATCACACAAATCAACAAGGACAACTACAAAAACTGGATAGTATTTACCAAATTAAAAAGTAATATAGAAAATATAAATAAAGTGAATAGTTTGTCTCACCAATTAAGTATACCTACGTATTCTTTACCTATACTCCTTTAATCAGCATTAAAAGTTGAATATTTACTGTCTTGTCCAGTGTCCTGCAGAGTGTGCTCCTCGGCTGCCATACGCGCCAGCTTCCTCTTTAAAATGATTTGTACTGTTAGCTTGGCAATACCTGCATCAGCAGCTCAACCATTTATAAAGAAACAACATACAAGGAAGGCTGAGCTGAGGAATGCAGATGTTTATGATAAGAAGGAACAAAAATATGTAAATCATTCCTAAGGCAAACAATTAATAAGAAAAATACATTTACTGTTAGTGAAAAATACAAATGGTAATCCATACTTCATGGAGCTATGGGCTTCTTTCATGGGGAGAATGGACTTAACATTCAATATTTTGACAATTTTAAGACAGCTGAAACTGTCGTTTTGCAGTCTGAACTTGGAATTCAGGAGTCCAGGGAAGGCAAGATCAGGAAATAAAGCCTTGTAATTGTTGTTTTCTTGGTGAATTTTATGGAACTCTGTTATGCAACTCATAAATATGAAGACTGCGTGAAAGTTTTTGAGGTGTTTCACTTCACATAATATATATCCGAATTATTTTAATATTTGGAAGATTTAAAGTTAGCCAGAGGTTTGTGTCTGTGTAAGAAAAAAAAGTTAATACGAACAAAGCAAGCATATGAAGAGAAAACTTCTTACTATGACTAGTAACCAGCTACTAGCTAGCACACTTCACTCCAGGCATGGAAGTTTATTCTGTGTTATAAAGAATCAATGGGACTTCTCCACATCACACTGACAACAGCAAAAACACTTAAAAAAAAAAAAAAAGTCATCTGTCTCATTAAGTGAAAACCTCTATACACGAAGCATTTGCTGACTACAGACATTTAAATTAGACTTAAATTCTTCCATAGTAAGGTCTGAATTTGTGAAACAAGTGCAATTTAATATTCTAAATATTAGTTGTAACTCAGTATTCTGGGGTTTTTTAATTTTTCATTTAAAGATACTATGTGACAGACAAGTCACATTTAGTATGACGGCGAAAGCTCCATTGCTACCGTCTTTCCTTTTGTAAGCCAATCAAAATATTAATTTGAAATAAACTGTGTAGGAGGTACAGAGTGAAAAAGGCATTTGAGACTCAGAACTATTTACACAAATTTCCTTTACAGTTTAAAGTTTGTCTTGAAATTTCTGGATCCTGGAATGATTGGTGCAGGCATCAAAGCCTTTAGTAGCAAATTACTGTCTCACAGAAAGACATTTTCAGCTTCTGCTCCAGCTGCTGATTAAAAAAAAAAAAAACCCACAAAAAACACCCAAGTCACATGTTCAGCTTGACTTCAGACAAGGGCAACCTGCTCTTTTATAACTTCTAGGGAAAAAAAAAAGGAGTTGTTAGTAGTTATTAAAAATGGATATAATGATTTGGACATAGATCCTTCGTGAAGACGTGGATGGGCTTCCACTCGAAGTCCCAGAATTAGTCCTCAAGGAAAACGTTCATTTTAAATGAAGAGTAAGAAACCTATTTGTTAAAGACAGGTACTGCAGCTCACTGCTGGACCCTGCTTTTTTTGCCTGACTGAAGGCAAAAGCCTCTTACAGTCTAGGTAAACAAAATGAAACAAATGAAGGATACATAATTACAGATTTTCAATACCCTTCCCCAAAAATGAAAGGACCGCTGATAAATCCTGCAGCCATGGCAAAAGTTTCAAACAATTCTGAAATATGTAGGTCAGTTCCATTAAAAATCAAGTATCCTTGTTCAGGTTTTAGGAGAGTAACTGTTTAAGTATCAGTGAGCTCCTCTGAATAGGCTAGAAATTAAGTTTCGCAGCAATGTAAGTTTATACGAGAAGGGAATTAGATTTGCTGTATTCCATCTCTTTCTGAACCGAACAGGAGGCACAAACCGACACTGAAAGTTTTGCCATGGACTGTCTCTACTTTCCAAACGACCGAGCGTTACCTCTCTGGCTTTTTGTGCTGCAAGTTCAGCTTGTCGCTGTCGCTCGAGTTCTTCGAGCAACTGTTTTTCCATGATGCGCTTAGCCTCCTCCACCCTGCGGAGAACCTCTCGCTCAATCTCATCCTTCCGTTTCTCCAACTCTTCTTCCACACGTTTAGCCACAAGCTCTTCCACTCTTCGAGCAGTTTCTTCCTCTATGAGTTTCTCTTCAATTTCTTGTTGACGACTACAAAATGCAAACATGAGGATTACCTTTTTAATCAGTAAAGAATTGCTGCACTGAAACAAACTCTTTTGAATACAGAGCATCAGCCACGCTACTGAACCACTTTTGAAGGGTTTTATACCTTATACACACAGATCATATATTTAAAGAATGCTTTGCCCTACATTTAAGGAAAGTAGATATTCAGGCAATCAGTGCTCCTACCACAGGGAACCCATTCAGATCATACCATATTTAGCATCTTTCCATATCTTAAGAAGACAGCTCTCCCCCTCATTTTTAGGGGGGGGGGGAAAGAAAACAAAAAAAAAAGACTCCATCCAACTTTGGCTATCCTTCAGGAATTTAAATGGTCTCAATTTTAAGCCACATGAAGCAGTATCTTATAAAAATCTTGTCTTAAAGCCATCACCTCAGAGGTACCAAACTAATCTCTAATAACTAAAATAGAAGACAGAAGCAATAGAATTTCTAATTTGAATTCAACAAGAATTCCAGGTGTGGTATCTGTAATCTCAGAATTTCTAATTTGAATTCTTTTAACAAGAATTCCAGGTGTGGTATCTGTAATCTAGTTATTCAATCATTTACCTTGTCAAATTTCAAATATCTCAGCTCTCCTTAACTATTTTATTGCAGCACTCTTGTTTCTACTGTAATTAACCAAAATAAAATATACCCATACCAAGTGCTAGAGAAATCCTTGTAAACTTTACAGTTTTCCATGTTTTGAATTTTGGAAGTCTTTTCGAATGTCTTCTTTCTTTATTTTTGTTTAGCAGCAGCATTATCACTTAAGACTGATCGCTGTTTTAAGTTTTCATTAAAAAGGACACAAAAAAGATTGGGTCAATTCACAGGTTATTACCAAATGAAGAAAAAAAATCTTCCAGTTAGTAATTACTAGTATGACATGGCAATTAGATATCCAAAGACCAACAAAAGTGAGTACTGCATAGCTAGGTTTCATAGAGTACTATTTATTTAGAATTATTATGGGCTTTAGGGAGAAGGTTGTTCTTTTTAACCTTGAAGTTGAACTTTTATTTTAAGTATTCTGTGAAGTACAGAACAATCTTATAAACCTATCTTCTGGCCTGTCAGCACTAGAACTCCACGATTTAGAACAGCAACTACTGTTGTAATATCCTAATATCCTGTCATTTTCATAACGTTTGCATTTTCCTATCTTATTTAAATTGAGAGACATAAAACAAACTCATTTAAAAAAAAAAAAAGTTACAGGATTTACTAACTTTTACATTTCCCAGTGTACAACTTGCAAACATGCAAAATGAGATGATGAAGTAGGGATTACGGATCGATATAAACATGTGAAATGCTGAGGTGAAAGGCTCCCCATTTCCCCTGTTCAGGTATCTTCTTTTCAAAAACATACTTAACCAAACAGATGGTCCTTCTTCAGTAAAGAGTTTTGGAACTCTCAGCTTTAACACTCAGCCCCATAAGACAAATTTTATTCTTACATTGCTCAAGAGATAGCGAACCCATACGGTGGCACATTAGGCCAGCATTCATTTTTCCTAAAGCAGCACAAGATATCTTGAGGTGATTTTTTTCAGAAAAGTAGAAAAACGCTAGACCACCACCGCCATGCAGAAAAATGCATCAACCCCATTCTGTTAGTGTGTCTGTGCTAAGTCACTACCTACGATTCTTTTTGGACAAGTTTTTAAACATCCTTTATATACTAAATACCCTTTTATTTTTAAAGGTTTTTCTTCCCTTTCTTGAGTATTTATTCAGCAGTGAGTACTCTCACCATCCTGTACTGATACACCTTAGCATACCTAAGAGTGATTCTACAGAAATAATTTTTCAGAAAGCTCATATTCACATGTTTTACTCAACTGTTTTAGCTTTATGTTTAACATGGCAGAAACCTAGAATAACAGTTAGCTACTTGAATAAAGATAGTACGTTAGTTACAAAAAAAGCCTGACACTCATGTCTGAAATAAGTTTTCAAATATCCTCAGCAACTGATGATGCATTCAAATTAAACACTGAGCCCGCACAAGTTTCAGTCTTCTCACCCCAACAAGTTCCACTCAAATTTAATTAAACCAAGCAAATACATCTTTTCACATTCATAGGCAATGATAATATTACACGTATATAATAGCTTTGAGCTTATCCATAAAATAAAATTATAAACACAGATATAAACCTCAGTGATTTCTCCTGCAGTTTATACCAACTATTAATTATTTTTTAAAAATTGCATGAACTTACAATATTTTACATACAGTTCATCATCCTGATCTACTGAGCCACAACTTCAGAGCAAAAGATAAGTCATTAATGTGAAGGTATTTTTAGTATGCTCCATTTACTTCTTAAAGACTAATTTTATAAAATCTGCAGAAAATTAACTGCTTAAATTTCAGCAAATTTCTGAAAGAAAAAAAATGTTGTATTTGCAAGGCCTTTATAGAAAACTAGCATTACAGGAAAACGCAGAAGTTAGGCTATGTATTAAGATTTGAACAGACACGAGAATAAAAAAATCACTTTCAAATATATGAACTGTCCACTACTTAATTCAGTCAGCAAGAAAGTACTTCTTTCCTTTGCTAACATGTTGTACACTAACATATATAACACAATTTACAGGTGACTTACTCAAATACCATAGACTTCTAATCTATTAGGTTTTATTGCTTTTTATTTTTGAAATTTAAAGTGTATTCTAGAAGCATCAAAATTCTCTATCAAATCTTTTCCAAGATTGTTTCTCCCTCAAAAGTTTACTACTCTGTGGCAATATCACTCAAATGTCATATTCCTCCTATACAGACTTCACGAGTATTTTAAAATTTGAAAGCTAACTTATACAGAAAACTTACTTACTATGAACTAAACCAGCTCCAGAATACTAAGATAAGCTATTCACTGTATTCTCAAGTTGTTAAGCATGTTCCAATTCTTCCCTGCAGATAGGCATGAAGTTTTTTTTTATCAGTTTAGGTACTGAATAAAATTTATAAACCACAAAGTTAGGATCGATAATTCAAAAAGCCTTCGACATCTTCACATGCGTTTGTGTTACTAGGCAAGTTCTTGATGACATTGCTGTCAAGTTCTGAAGTTGGCCAAGTAGATTATCGACAAACAAAAATGAAAGTGTCAACTCGGGGTGCTCAAGCCTTCTAAACTACAATCAGTATTTCATTACAACAGTATCGCTGAAATAAAACGCAAAGCTCCACCTAAGAACTAGCAAAAGTACTTGACTTCACACTTACAAACAAGTGCTATTTCTGGATTCAGTACTCCAACAAGCAAGCTTAACGCTCAAAGGAGAGTCACTTTATCACAACTGTTAAACCCGTTGTTATCTCTACTGCATAAAGGTCTCTTTCATAACTTCACAATACTGCTAAAGATCTTAATGTACATCCAGCGTTCATTAAAACAGAATTTATCTGTCTCTGTAGGCTTCATAACTAACCACATCCCCCACAACGAAAACTGAAAAAGCTTTCAAATGAAACAAATCACCGGATCTCACTGTCCCATTTGGCAGGAAAACACCCACCCCCCTCCGTATTAATACAAGGGTTGCATAGCACTTCTTAAACCCTAAGTCGAGCAACTTCAGATGCGTCCGCTCGACGCATAACGAGCTCCACGCAACAAAGGGGAGGGGCGGGCAGGGCGGCGGTGAAGCACAAAGCCTCCGGGGCGCGGAGGCCTCCGCCGCAGAGAGAACTTTCAGA